AAGCTTGTTCCAAGTAGGTGCTTTAGACCACTGAGCCATCTCTCCAGCCCCTTTTTCTGTTTTAATATAGTTAATTTAATACTACTCAGGTGTTTTGCTCTAGAATTTTGTTATGCAAATTTCTTTGAAGTACACCTATGTAAAAGGAAGTTGAAGAGGGCTTACCTGAAAGAGTATGTATGTTCTCTCTGCATTGTTACATCAATATATGTAACTTCCAGGGTGGGGGAGATGGCTCAGTAGAATAAGCACTTGCCTAGCAAGCTCAAGGGCCTGAGTTCAATCCCCGGTTCTGCAAAAAAAGAATAAAAAAATTAAAAAGACAAATACAATAAAATTATATATATATAACCTCCTACTTGTGGAACTTACTTTCAAATAGCTTTTTTAGGAGCTCAGAGTCTTTTTGGTCATCAGCCCTTGAAACTTCAGTGTGTTTCAGATGTAAGCTAGGAAATTTAGTGATGTTGCCCTGCCCTACAAAAATATTATCTTCTTAAAGACTTAATTTTTAATGAAATATTGATAATTTGAAGTCTGCATTTTTTTCTGTGATAATATTGTATTTATTCCAGTGTTTATTGTACCATGAAATGAGTGATTATTTTTAACACAGCAAACTCTTCATAATGTCTTAATTATTAAGCAAATATTGTTTGTTTGTTTGTTTTTTCCCTCTTATGAGAATTGGCCCCTTAAGGACTAAGATATATCTAATCCCATGGTCAAGTTTCCTTTAGCCTCCAGAAATGGTCCACCTGCATAGAGGATATAGTGAATTGCCTTTAGGTGGTACTTTTAAAGTTTGTAAGATTGGTGAATCTGGGTATACATTTTGGTTTTACTCTGCCTGTAGTTTTTTTTTTTTTTTTAATGTATGTAGTACAGGGTCTATAGGGTCTCACTACACAGATTGGACTCCCAGTGTTCCTTCTGTTTTCAGCCTCCCAAGCGCTGGGATTAGAGGGGTACACCACCACCCCAATCTCAGTCGTGGTCTCAGCGTGCCCTGGGGGTGCGGCTGGCGCTACAGGCACAGGATTGAACCTGGTCCACTGAGCTATCTGGCTGGCCCTCTGCCTGTAGTTCGTGATGTCTTGAAACCTGAAAAGTTGTCTTTATTTCTCCTATTGAGGAAGAAAGGCTCTTCTTGGTGCTTTCCAGTGAGTCCGAAGACTGAATGGAGCAGCTTTCTCTGTCTGAGGCTGTTAAACTTGAGCTGCTTCCTGCGGGTTCAAGAATTCTCATCCCTCAGTTCACTTATGCCTTTCTTCAAGGGAGAGCAAAAGACATCAGGCAGGGTACAATGTACAATTGATCTTTTGTGGACATTGAGCTGGCAGTTAGTAGGGTTTTCAGGAAGGTTCCTTCCAGCCTGGAACTGGCATCCTGGGTGGATATAGGACCGTGAATGTCCATGCTGGTAATGTCCTACCCTCTCATCTTGGACATGGGACTTTCCAGAGTACTTTTATATTGTCCCATGAAAAAAAAGGATTGCCTTAATTGAGTTGTCTTAGAGCAATGATGGCAAACCTTTTAGAGCATCTAGTGATAACAAACAGCTGACTCCAGCATGTGTGCCTTAGGTTTACCACCACTGTGTTTGTTGTGTCCTCATTAGAATGAAACATTTGTTGTCCTTTTAGCCACTTTTTTGTCTTTTTGAGACAGGGTCTTGCTATGCAGTTAAGGCTGGCCTTTAGCTCACTTTGTAGCCAAAGGCAGTCTCAAACTCCAATAATCCTCTTACCTCAGCCTCCTGAGTGCTAGGATTACAGGCATGTGCCACCACGCCCAGCCTAGCCACATATTCTTTTGATTTATAAGAGTCATATAGAAAAATTGGAAAGTATAAAAATCCAAAGGTACTTGTGTCTTCCAGAGATAATCAGTATTTCAACCTTTAAGGTGTGTCTGTATGTATATTTGTAAAAAAATGCTAGAATTTTGTTCTTGGTATTCTGATGCTACCTTTTTCCAGTATGTATAGTACTTTTCTCCATATCTTTAATAGTCTTTGAAAACATTTTATTGGATGTATATTGTTTAATTCCATGAAAGTAAAATACATTCTGAAATAATTTTCCTTTTGTTTATCTTTCTTTCTTTTTCTTTTCTTTCTTTCTTTTTGTGGTACTGGGGATTGAAACTTTTCTTCCTTTCTTTTCTTTTTTTTTTTTTTGCAGAACCGGGGTTGTTTATCTTTCTTATCACTCCTTCTTGTATTAAGGTTATGCCCTGAATCTTTTAAAACAAATTATTGTGGCCATCTCTAATTATTTTCTTAGAATAAACCAAGTGAGTATATGTGAAACATTCAGAAGAAGACTTGGCATGTGTAGTACTCAATAAGAATTTTCCTTGGGAAAAAAAGACAAATTTTCCTTGAACTAGGATAATTGGTCAGAAGGTACAGATGTCCTTGTTCCTGTTGTCAGATCGTCCTTCAGAAATGTCATTAAAATTTATATTCCCCCAAGAGTGCCCACTTTCTTGTTCCATGCATCCTCACTAACCTAACTTTTCTTCTTCAAAATAAACTTGGCATTCTGTAGATAAATGACAATTCCCACCCTAAAACTTTTCATAGCAGTCACTGAACCAGAACAACTTAGCTATTGTCAACAGTAGATTGTGTTACATTCATAAAATGGAATTCTATTTGGCAATAAAAAGGGATACAGTATTTAAGTAGGCAACAACATGGTTATGTTACAGATGTAAGGTTGAATGTGAGAAACCAGACAGAAAAGAGTGTACTGTTAGTTTCCATTTATTCCAAGTTCAGGTGCAGGCATAATTGGGGAATAAGCCAGCAGTGTTTTCCTTGTTGGGAGTATTGGCTAAGTGGAGGCTCTTCAGGTGTGGACCATTTTCTTTATCTTTATCTTTGGTGCTTGGGTGAATATATACATATCTACACATTTGCTGAGTTGGGTGTGTAGTGAGGATTAACAAGGATACTTTAAGCTTTGCTTTTAAGCATCTACTTCAATCACTAAAACAAAACTTTCTGAAACCCAAAACTTTCCTAGTTTGGTAGCTGATGTATGGTATTTTATCATTTTGCTTAGTTTCTTGTTCCTAACTTGAGTTGCCGCTTGTGTTTTTTGACTTTAACCTATTCCGTAATGTGCCAGGAGCTGTTCTTGGTGCTAGGAATGTAGCAATGACCAGAGCAGAGTCCTTGCTCTGGTAACATACTCTAGCTGGGGAAAAGACATAAATTTCTGTGACAATTGATTGTTGAGGGCTGTGAAGAGAAACGGGGGGAAAGGGAAGGGGGTGAGGTGTTAATAATGCTCCTTTTATACAGCATGATTCTGGAGGCCCTTGAGATGTGTTCTGAGCTTGGAACAAGAGCTAGAGCGTGTACAAGGCAATGGGACAGATCACTGTTGGGCTTGCAGGCCAAGCCCTTTGAAAGGATTTTGTCTAGGGGTGTAGCTCAGAGGTGGTGCACTTGCTTTACATGTGTGAGGTCCTGGGCTTGATCCCTAGCATCAAATAAAGAAAAAAGATTGCTCTAATTGTTACATGGACAGTGGGCTGGAGGAAGACAGGGGAGAAAGAAAAATTTTATCTAGATTAATATTACTGGATGGGAGTTTTCCAGGTGCTTATTCTTGCAGGGCCCCAGAAATGCACTTGAATGTTCACTGGATTTTTTTTTTTTTACCAGGTGCTAGGTACTGCT